CGAGGCGCCGGTGCGATCCATGGAGGTCCGAAACGCGTCCCGCTTCGACTCCAGACATTCACATTCACGATTATTACACGGGCGCTCCGTCACGCATGAAAGTTCAGGCGAGCAGGGAGTCAGTCACCTGAGGCGAAGACAGCATCACCATGTAAACGGCAAATACTTGGACCTCAGGCATTTGCGTCTCATCCACATCTTTTTACTGTCTTTGCACAGACCGTCCAATCAATCTCGCACGCCATCCATGGGGCAGGGATGAGCAGGTCCTGACCCCATTGTGATCGTGAGAGCGTCAGCATCAGCGTCGGAGCTTTCATCGTGGCTGTCTTGCAACCCGCCGCGGTCGGCTTTTGGGTCACACTAGCAGCTTTCATGCCGACCTAAGACGGCGAGACGCGTTCGTACCCAGGAGGAGCAAGTGCAGCAGGCTTCGACGCTCCCTCGACTGGACCAGCAGTCGGTCAAGGTGCTGCTGCACCTTATCGCTCTCTGCCTGCTGTCGCGATGCAGCCGCTCAAAACTGAGGATTTCCCTGCTGAACCAGTTTCGGAACATCTAGATGCCCCACACCAAGAGGAATTGTACGCGCCCTCCGAAGAAGTCCAAGAGATGAATGAAGCCCAGCACAACGACCATTTGTACTATTCGCAAGTGCAAGCCGTGGGCGATTATGAGGATAGCGGGGTGGTAGACGGAGGCGAGGGAGTGGTCGGGCAGCATGCCGAGGACGTTACGCACGTCACAGCTTTCCAAGAGCACGAGGGACTGAATGGCGGGGAAGACAGTGCGCTGTATCACAATGAAGGCCAACAGGATGGCTTGTCAGATAGCAAAGCGCGAGGGGCCAATAATGGCGCACACGCTCCCAAGCGGCGAAAGATCAATACTTGTCTTCCTTGCAAGAGGCGCAAAGTCAAGTGCGACAAACAGAGACCTCACTGTGGACAGTGCAAGAAGCATCACATCGAAGAGCCGGATTGCGTGTGGAGTCTGGATGCGGATCACAATGCCGCACCAGCAGATGCGCATGCCGCCCCAATACCTAGTACTAACACCACATACGACTCGACTTGGTACTCGGCTCAGGACGGTAGCGCACCTGAACTTGCCCATCAGGCGGTTGTACAGCATCCTTGGGACCAAGGCGAGGCTGCGCGAATAGACTCGTCAGAGGAGGCTAGTGGTGCATCGAAGGCTGAAGACGTTGCTGCAATGCTCGAGCGGATCCGAGCGCTTGAATGCGAGCTGGCACGCACGACTACTCGATTGCTGGGGCGAGACAATGCCAACGAAACGGAGTCATCGAGCAAGAAGAGGGCACGCTCTGAAGACATGGCAGCAGCAGCAGAGCGCCAAGACATCGATGCCGAGGAATTGACGCATATGGAGACACAGTTGCATCAATTGAGGAAGTTACCGCTATCTTCGGCTAGCATGTACGAAGCGAACACGGGTCTTGCTGCAGGCGCGCTCGCCATGATAGCCCGCAATCATCCTCATGCCTCGATGACGAATGGCACTGGCAAAGGTCGAGGCGCCAACATGTCCACGTGGGGCGTTCAAGGACCGCCAGGTGGCAGATTTCCATTTCAAGCGCGCCTGACTACAGAGCTGGTCAAGGAGGCTCTCGATCTGTTGCCAGAGAACTCCACGGTGGACCACATCATTGCAGCTGACAGAGCAGTGCATATGAGCGGGCTCAGTACAGGAACAAGCTATCGTAAGTATCATTCGCGTTGGGCGTCCGGCGTCGTACGCAGAGAGTTGACTCCTTCCACGACACCGCTTTGGCAGGCCTTGTTGATTTGCAGCTCGGCGTCATGCGAGCGGAAATCAATCGATGGGATGGAGGTAAATGCGGCTCAGACTTGCCATGCATCGACCTGACGTTTCTGGCGCTGCTTTTCGCAATTTTGTCTGCCGGTATCGAGTACTCAGAGCCTACTACGTTGGTGTATCACAAGCTGGTCGATCGATTGGAAGACATTCCAGAAAGTGAGTGAGCAGCCGAAAGCGACCATTTCATAATATGCTGAAGCTTTCTCGCGTCCGCGCAAAACAGAAACGTGCGCTTACGTAGCAATGAGCCAAACGCTTATGTCCGTTTGTGACATGTTGGAACGGCCGAACCTCAATCTAGTCATGGCTTTGGCGGAGATACGCATGTATCAAGTTGCGCACGCGCGCTTCATCGAGTGCTCGATGTGTGTCTCAATGGTACGTGCGGCCGATTTTGCCAAGGCTAAAGGGCGAAAGCTCATGATGCTCGACAATTCTTTCAGATGATACGAATGAGCTTGTTCCTGCGCTTGCACCGCATGGGTAGCGCCTACGACGATCAGGCAAAGTGGATGAGCCAAGAACAAACACCTTCGGTCATTACCGGCTGGGAGGATCAGCCGTACTTGATGGGGCAGGTTTTAATTCCATTGTATCCGCAGGGAAAGCCTGACCCGGAAGCCATCACGTGAGCCTCGATGGCGAATGCAATGCTTGCGATTAGAAGTGGCTACTCACACAAGTCCTGAATACACAGTGTCAAGATACCTCAACGTAGTCATCTAGTTCGGGAAGCTGCGCGCCGGACCTTCCGCAGCATCGTTCTCGTGTCCTACTTTATGAGCGAGCAGTACGACCGACATGCGCAGATCGACCCGCACACGTACAACACGACGCCGCCAATCAATGTGGACGAGGAAGAGCTGCCAATGGGAGATGAGGCCGAGAGGCCTTGGGAATTACCGATCGAAAAGGCTCGGGGAGTGCCTACTGAGAACAGCTTGTTTCCTT